CCCCCCCCCCCCCGGGTAAAAGTCACGCTTTGAATAAGTACTATAGCTGAACCACAGAGAAGACAGTAGAATGTGTTAAGTGAACAAAATTTCAAAAGTAGGAAATGGTCCATTTATGTGGAAAATCAAAGGGTATAAATTAGTTGTGTTGGATCAATTTTAGGTTTCTGGGAAACTGCCCACCTACCCCTCCCCTAAGCTAACACTAACACTTACTTCTCACTTAGGGCAAAATGTTGGCTTAGGGGAGGGATAGGTGGGCAGTTTCTCCGAAACCGAAATTGATCCATTGTGTTCACCACTTTGAGAAAGGAAACTGGGCCAAGTTATCTTTTGCAAAGGCTTCTGGGACTGTTACTAGAGACAAGGAAAAAATTGGCCAATAGCTGAGCGGCGCATCTCCACTAACGATCCCAGAAAGAATAAATGGCAGGATGCATTTCTGCTCCAATTCCCTTCTCGTTTCTAAAGACGTGGTGGCCCAATAATAATTATTTAAGGTTGTTTGTTTGGGATGACTTAGAGAGGTACAGTACAGTGGAACCCTGCTGTAAGGAAGTGCCACAGTACTGAAAAAATAATTGTTCGTTATAGTGGGGTCTTAGTTATAGCAAAGACCCCGCTATCAAGAATTATCTGGTCAACAGCAAAAATATTCGTTAAATTGGGGTAAGTTAATAAATAACAATTACCAAAAATTCAATACTGCACGTAGAAAACATTATTTTTGTTCATTTGATACTGTAAAGTGTAAAACACTGACAATCACGACATCAATTTTCAAAACACTTTCAATATATTAAAGGAAGCTATCTGTCGTTTTTACTGACAAAATATTTGTTACAGTGGGGTAAATTGTGTGTTGGGACTGTCAAAATCTATTCGCTATAGCCGGGTTTGTTTCCACATAATTTACTGTAATTCTGCCAGGCTTTCAGATGTTTTTCGTTATAACAGGGTCTTTGTTATGGCAGGGTTTAGACTACGAGTAGTCCCCCATTTTTCCTCAGGGACAGTAGAGCAAGCGAAACGCGAGCATGCGTGAGAGAGAAAAGGCTACATGTGGCGGGGAGAGAGAAGAATGAGGGTCCCTCATTTTTCTCTCTCCCCACCGCATGTCACCTTTTCTCGCATAGGGTGATTTTCACGCGCGCTTGCATTTTGCTCGCTCTACTATCCTTGAGGAAAAAGGGGGAACTACTCGTAGTCTAGGCAGGGTTTCACTGTAACTACAAATTAATGACAACAAAAGGTTTGGAAGCATTGAATTCTGATTTAGACCTCACACCAAATTATTTGGCCTTGGAGAATATTCTCTACCTGTCTCTTGTGAAAGTTTGTATCCAGACTTCTCTTAGCCTTATTGGCTGCTCCTATCTGTTGCCTGTGGGAGGCCTGGGGAGGAGAGGTCCTTTCACTCTTGAGTCCAGGCCCTGACACTCGCTGTTCCTTTGTACTGTGGCCCTCAG